CTGAGGAAAACTGGCTCGTATCCTCATTACACAGGGAAAAAATACAAAAGCGAGAATGGAGGCGGTACGTTCTTCGGGACTCAAGCGCCGGACAGAACTACCAGTATTCAGTGGCTTTTACCGCTCGGCCGCTGGTAAGCCTTAAATGTAGAATTAAAAATCAAAATGTTTCCCTCAAATCTATATAATTTATCTTAACTAATTCTTTCATGTTCAGATGAAGTATAAATTCTCAATATGCCCAGCATTACACATTTTTTTTTCATTAGTAGGTACTTTCGGTAGATGTTTTATTATTATTATTATTATTATTATTATTATTATTATTATTTCACTGTTAGTATTTAAACTCACTTCGAAGAGGTTATATTTCGCTTCTAAACCTCAAGGAGTTGTCTTGGATTAACGTATTTTCTTCAGAAACAGATAAATTCTCACATCACAATTACGTATAATTCTTCATTTTATTCCGTTTCATTTTCTCGATTACCTAATTTTTCAAAGAAAATTGTGAGACAGAAATATCATAGGGTACTTACGTATTATCGAAACCACCTTAGTAGATACCGCCAAAAGCTTCAGTATACACCAACCTGTGGTAACCATGCGCATGACGAATATTGTATTCAACGTCGCCAATTTCGTATGCTTTCTTTTTGTATTAGAAATTCCATCGGTTTCCATAAAAAAATTATGATTAAATTTGCTCTTAAACTGGATTTTAAAATTTATTCCTGTAGGATTTTCCTAAAATAGAAGAAAGAAAGGTGAAATTTCTGCAGGAATACATTCTTTTGTCTCAAAATCGCTAAACGAACAATGCTTCAAATTCTTTTTCAGAACGATCGAGGCGAAATTTCCACCGCCTAAAAACAAAAACCCTTTTCCAACTAGGTTCACTGACTGCCTGTTGGAATAAATATATTGTTGTGTTCTACGGGTTCATGGGTTTTTAGTATAATAACACTCGATGGAGAATAAAACACAATTTATTCGCCAGTTAGCACTATTACACCGGACCGTTTCAAAGACATTCGTTGAAAAACTACGGCAAACACCCTGAAACAACGTGTGTAGATATCGCCGTTATTCTCAAATTGTCTATTTGTTAAATTTTTTTCAGGATACTGATTAGAATGCATATTGGAAGGAAAAGTATCAGCACTCGACTAAGGGCATTGTCTCATAACCTGTAAAAGGCTTCTGGGTGAGTATAATTTTGAAAGTATAATTTTTCATCCCCCTTCCAAAAAAACTAACAGATTTTGATCGCCCAAAAGGGTTTGTTAAGGTTCTTAACGCTCTCGCTGAGCTCGCAGTCTATCAGTCTATTCTTACAGTCACTTCTACCCCCTTTTTTTGTTGTCTTTTTAGTTTTGTTATTAGGCATCAATTTCTTCCCACTTCCGTCGAACAAAATTAACAGCAAAATTAGAAAAATTTTAAAATCAGCTTAGCAGTATACTTTTAGAATTCCCGATGCAGGGTTAACCGTTGGGATCTATATATATATTTAGTCTTCTCTCAGCTCATCATATCAATGTTCAGTTTTCTTACTAAGATGGCTATAGAAACTTTTTTTTTTTAGTCCAAAGGGGCTTTGTGCCCGAAGGACTAGTGCTTTCGTTTTGCGGTTTTGCGTCGGAACTCTATAAACAGCGTATCACTTTTCAACTCTTTGCCACCAAATACTATCGCAGTGTATTATATTTGAAAAAATTAAATAATGAAGAATCTGCATAAAGTATGTATGTTTCTCGCATTGTGAAAAAACGAGGGTACCTAGAACTATTCAATTTTGAATGACGTAGTCCTACTGCGAATATGGGCATCTGAAAGCCTAAATTTGAAATCTGAATTTGTTTCATTATCGATTTCATATTTTGTAAACCTTTAACGAATTTTTGATTAACCAACTCAATGATTTAAAAGCGAGCAATGGCAACACTCCACGGGATGGGGAAACCTTTTTTTATTTTTTTTTATTTCCAGCGTACGGAACTGTGTATCGGTAATTCTAAAGATAGGCTCATTTTAAAATTATTTTGCGACATTGCTGTCGAACTGAATTTTATGGTTTAAGTGCAAAGAACATAATATTTAATAAATAAAGGTAACACACAAAACGTTAAAAAAACGCCCCTTTGGACGTAATTTAAAGTCTGAAACTATTCAAATTGTATATATTTTTATTTTTTTTTTATTTAATTATTTTTATTTTTAAATATTTCTTTTTCATTATTAACATTTTCTATCTTTACCTTCTTTATTAAATATCACGTTCTTGGAGCTTATAGCCCATAAAACTCGTTTCAACATCAAAATCGCAATATGTTTAAAAATATAACTTTAGAATTTCCGACAAACAGTCTCGCGTGCTGGAGATAAAAATGCTTTTTTCTGTTCAGTGTTGTCACTGTTCGCTTTCACATCGTTGAGTTGGTTAACGAAAAATTCTTTAAAGTTTTACAAGATATGGAATACATAATAAAACTAATTTTAAATTCAAAACTCTCGTCTGCAGGTACCCATGTTTAGGTGAAGGTCTACGTTATTCGGAATTTGATGGCTCTACGTTATTCGGAATTTGATGACCGTCGTTTTTCACAATGCGAGAAAACCTACACACGCTCATGGAAATTCTTCATTATTTAATTTCTTTAAATATAATACAGGGCGATAATATTTGGTGGCAGCAATTTGAAAAGTGATACGTCGTTTATAGTGATTCAACAGTAAATTTTGTTTCGAGACGAATATCCTATACGGAAATAACGTCCGTTTTGGGCTAAAACCTAAGAACAGAATAAGCACGCAAGCACAAAATGATCCATGAAAATGAGTTTTCTTGATGGGTAAGTTTGAGTAATACGAATTTAACTGTACGGATGAGTTTATAAGCTTCAATTCGATTTAAACTAAACACTTGTCTAACCTAATAAAAATTCAATTGGATTTAAATTAAGCTCTTGTCGTTACTCTCCTGTTATGAGACCGAATTCAGCAATGTGTGGATGTGTGCACGTGTGTCTGTATGTATTTACGTACGTGTGTGTGCGTATACACACACCTACATATGTAAGTACACTACGCAAAAAAAGGGGGGGAGGACAGTTCAGTATCTCCCGTTCTACTGGGCCAATTGACGAAACTCAACTTGCGTTTTTCATGTGCCGAAAGCGCGACTTAGTATATATATTAGATTTATATAGGTGTTTTGACGGACTTTTTCTGAAATGGCATTTTTTTTTTTTTTTTTTTTTTCTTATATTTCGGTTCTACGACTTAAATTATGCCAAATTTTGTAAAGATCGCACGAGTAGTTTTTAAAAATTAGCTCTCAAAATTTCAGCTCCTTTAATGTTAATTTAATTTGGTATATGTATATTATTCTCTCTTTTTTATTAAACTTTTTTGATTCGTCCAGTCACATTTCGAAATTTAGGTTCATTCCAAATAAAATTCGCCCATTTTTTATGATTTATTTTTAAAATTTGTATTTTTAAATAAAATTTTATGAATTTTCAAAAAAATATTTTAAATTATAACATATAAAATTTTTACCATCATCTTAAGGTAGATGTATTTCTAAGCATATCTGCAAAAAAATTACAGTTTTTTATTCAAAATTTCGAAGATGTACGAGAATTTATATATTGGCGCGTTTTCAAATTTGGCATATTAGTTGAAAGCGATAATAACATCAAATGTGGTTTAGGCACTTTGCTAAAGTTATTTGAAAGTAAGAACGATGTGTCTTTTTTTTCCGCTCATGCACAATGTAAAAAAGGTAGGATCGATGCCACTTTTTTTCCGCTTCTTCACAATGAAAGGGAAAGGAAAATAGGTTGCCGTATATTAAGAAGTTCTCGAAGTAAACTACTCTTGGCGCAAACTGAGAAAAACGCGCCAAGATAAATTTTTGAATTTCGTCAATCGGCCCAGTAGAACGGGCGATATAGAACTCTCCCCCTTTTTCCGCAGTGTACATATTATACATACATGAATAAACACATACTTACATACATGCATGCGTTTCCGAATACGGTCCCAATAATAAATGAGTACCCACTTGTCTAACCGAATAAATAATTCTACTAATACTTGCCTAATTTTCTAATTACTAGTTCTTCTCTCGTCTTTACCACTCAAAACCAGAACACTAAGTAAATACAATACTGTAAAATAACTATTTATTCTGAGTTGCAGCTCTAAACGTAGAACAATTAATAAAATTAATTACCTTTTCTTGCGGACCTGACAGAAAACATAAATTTTATGGTTGCCATAAAATGGCAAGGGAGGTAGGGTTACCGTATTTGCCGCGAAATTGGCGATATGCTATAGACGGATGGAGAATATTCTAGAACGAATTCTTACCAGCTTGACTCAGGATGTTCTCAAAGGCAAGCCAAAGCTATATAAACCCTACATGTATATGGAGTAGCAGTCTAGTGTCTATTGTCTCGTCAGTGTATCGAGAGTGCCTATCGTTGAGGCTATCGAGTGTATCGTCGAGTGCATTGCGAGTTGTAGCATGGAGAGTTTCGAGAGTACGTTGAGTTCCGAGAACAACCGAATCGAATCGGGAGCTGTACTCTAGTGTTTTGCCATTAATCTGTCTTCACCATTATAGCCTGATAGCCTGAAGGCTGTGTTGTTGATTGTTTCAGCGTGCTTGTCTTAGTTTTTCGACGACTGTAAACGTGTTTTTGGAGCTGTCTTCAATAATAATGGCTAATGAATTGTGTTTTCATTCTTCATCAAGTTGTCGTTAATCACAACAAACCCAAAACCCGTAGAAGCGTAACAATATATTAATTAAAACATGCTTTACAAATTATTTTTAAAAAATTGAGTTTTTTGAGAAAGTAATGAAATAAACTGCAGGACGTATTATCCAGATGGCGATTTAAAGACATCTGTCTGTTTCAAAAAGTGTTTATGAACCTTACAATGAGGAGCTTTAATGTATTAAATTTGTATCAAAACACAACGTCTGAATTTGCTTTAGATTTTAATTACATATTTGAAGTTGCCGTTTACTTAATAAAAGCTAGAACAAAATATACACAGATTCACATATATATTGCACATGCTCATCTGCAGTGACTAATGCTTTCTTTCTTCAGCCGAAAAGGTTGCTCCAGAAGCCTTTCGTCACTTTACCAAGCTGGCATTCGTCTCCGTTCCTGAAAGCAACGCCAGAAGTCTCCACGTCTCTGGCTCTCCTGCAAACATTGCCGCAAGGTTCTACGCAGCAGATATCATAAGACTTGCAATCACCCTGAGAACAGCAGTGGTTGTACGTATAATCGTGTTTGCAAGCCTCGGGATGCAACGGTGGCGGACAGAACTCTAAAATAAGGAAAAAAATTATTTGCAAAGCATTTTGCACGAACTAAAATATGGTAAGATTAACACGCTCGCTGCCAACCATGAATTATCTCGTAGGTCGAAGTTTGTGTTTAGGCGCCAGCTACGAGTTAATTCGTAGAACGTTTTTGTTTTACCTACACCAAATACGATCAAACTCGTAGCATTTTTCGTGTTCTTTGAAGGCTTTTGGGCATTAGAGGGAAAAAAATAACAATTTGGTGCAATTCAAGAGATTTATTATAATTAATATAAATATAATATAGGTAATTATAAAGTAAATAACATAGGAACTGTAAAAATAATCATTTTTCTCTGAAAATTATCAGTTTTCATAAAACATCAATTAATACTAGTATCTGGTATCACTTCTCTATACCGATCAACTGCACAGGAGACTAAAACTGTCTAAACAGGTTATTAGGGTAGTTTCACCGAATTTGCAACAGTAAGAAAACAAATTTATCTACTATGAATTTTTTAAAGATTGGGACATAGGTTTGCCAAGAAAAGTTTTATTTGTAGAATTTTTAATACTTCATTTAAATTCCACTGTCAACTTTCATAACGTCACTGTATTCTGGAAATACAATATTAGAAAAGAAAAAGGAAATGCAGTATATTATTGATTCATTAGTAATATTAGTAATGCCCGTTCAACAGTAATACCTGTTGATTATTAACACTTGTTCTTCCTAAGGGAAGGGAATGAAGAAAAGTATTTCCATATTTTTACTAATTTTGTACATATACCAATAATTTTAGTGAAATTATATGTGAACTTATATTTTCCTGTGTAATGTAATATAAAATTCTAGAGGCAGGGTACTTTGCCGGAAAAATAAGAATACAGGGGTAAGTCTATTTAACATTGAGTAAATGGCCATCTCGCTAAATTGGCGAGATATTGCCAAGCTGGCAACGGTTTTGGTGACTAATTTTTGTCTTCAGATTTGGCGATAAGTCGCCAAGAATCTTCAGACTTGGCGACCATATGACTACATTTGGCTAATAACTGCTTCTACAGTAATTTTTTCCAATGCTGTTTTCTTTGCAAATTAATGAGATACGCTAAACTCACATAAAAAAGCTTGGTAAATTTCGTAGTAAACAATTTCGATTGCAAATTTATGTTTTTTCTGTTATTCAGATTCTGTTGATGTGTAAATCTGAAGTATATGTTTAGTAAAAACTTAAATTTAATTAAATCATTTATAGATCTTTAATTAAAATTAAAACAGATAAACAAATAAATAAACGCCTAATGTACAATCTGTCGTTGGAAATAAAAAAGGAGAGAGAATAGAATGTTACGTATAAAATTATAAAATTAAAAAACTCAATTAAGTAAAATGCTAAGCAGCTTCTATATAAAGTAATAAAAAGACAAAAAAATGTTAGCTCTCTAACTAGTAGTTTTAATTCTATCCTATCAGTTAAATTCATTTGATGCGTTTATAAGAGCAGTAAGAAAAATTAGGATATCAAAAGGAAGTAGACACTGAATGGAAACCTATCCTGGAGAAAGAAATTGTTACATAAAATAATAAAATTAAGAAAAAACAAATACCATAATGGTATCCTACGAAGAATAATTTACTTATAAAATAGCAATGAATGTCAAAGATTTATGTTGCAATTTTTGTTTGCCTCTTGACTCGTGCAGTCCACCTCGAGATCGTTTCAAATTTGTCTACAGAATCATTTATTGCAACTTTAAAACGATTTATTTCTAGAAGGGGTAAATGTGCGTCATTATTTAGCGATAATGCTCGAAATTTTGTTGGGGCTAGCAATGAATTGAAGCGACTCTACAATTTGTTGAAATACCCTGATGAATTCTTAACCAAATAACTGACATCTGAAAGAATTCATTGAAAGTTTATCCTTCCCAGGGCTTCTCACTTTGGAGGTATCTGGGAGGCAGGTGTTAAATCGTTTAAGTTTTATCTTAAGCGTGCAGTTGGGAGATTGATTTTTACATTTGAGGAGTTTCTTACAATTTTGAACCAGATTGAAGGATTTTTAAATTCACGTCCAATATCTCCTTTGTCAAATGACACCAATGATTTAGAAGCTCTTACACCCGCACACTTTCTAGTTGGGTGACCTTTAACATTAATAACAGAGCCTGATTTAACTGATTTTTCTGATAGTTTTTTAAAGCGCTGGCAGCGCACTACTAAATTAACGCAATATTTGTGGAAAAGATAGCAAAATGATTACATTAGTCATTTACAGCAATGATTTAAGTGGTATCCCCCTCTGTTTAAAATCGTACTGCTACACAGTAGTGGGGGAAAAATAAAAACTGATCTAATTAATATTTTCGACCATTCTTGTTTCAAAAGAAAATTGTTTTACAACCTGAAAAAAAAATCAAAATTTTTTAACTGCTGTACTAAAGTTGTTCGCACATTTTTAGACACACGTTCGCACACTTACAAAAATATTTTACCTAACATTTTTACCTAACATTTTACCTAACATTTTGTGTTTTAAATGTTCCATTTGATAACCCTTATTCTTCACTATCTTTCTACATCGTAATTTCCAAGATAATGAAGCTTTTTTTAGAAGCGGAAGAAGTATTTTATCCCATTCTTCTTGAACAGCCTTCCAAAGTCCAAGGAGGGTTGGAGGTCGACACGTGGACAATCTATTTTTTAAAAATCCAAAAGCGCAAAAATCTATGAATGTTTCACCAGGAGATTTATAAGAGGTATGAGTAAAGGGTAAGTCCTTGATAGGCGTTTCTTGTTCCATTTTTTTCCAGGAAATTTACAGTGGATATTGACGAGCGGCTGCTTGCTTTGTCTTAATGCACTTATTGATGGCACTGTGGGTATTTTTTTTCATTTGAAAATTGGGTATAAAATGTGCTCCTGATAATATGTGGAATTGACCTTAACAGTTTTCTGCACTCTCCGTAATTTTAATTTGTCGTTATATCAAAAAAAAAAAAAAAAAAAAAAAAAAAAAAAAAAAAAAAAAAAAGCAACAATCATAAATCCCTTTTAACATTTTTCTACTTTTGTCCTGATAAATGTTTCTCGTAGAGAATTCTGCAGCGCGTTCTGCTTTCGGCGATTATGTGGTGAAGATGGACATGTACATTAGGTTTCTTCGCCTTTTTAAGATTCAAATCAGCACTAATCAATTTGTTTACAGTTGTCACGGAGCATTTTAGTGGTCATACAACTATCGTTTGACTTCAAAGATTTTTATTTTAGCATTAAAATTCTTACCTTATCCCATTCGAAGCATTACGTTTTTTCGTTCGATATGTATTTTGAGCAATGTTTTCCTTGATGCCAAAATTTGACGTTTTTTTCTTCCTTCCTGATAATATTATCTATCGTTGCTTTAGACATAAAAAATAATGTCTTTCACAACACATTTTAACAATTAAATACGAATATATTTTCGGAAAAAGCACAAGCATAGCCTTCCTTCCATTTCTCCTTTAAAAGCGCCATTTTGCATGTAAGCAAAATTGTCAAATAGCAGACGATAATTTACCTTTTGAAAAATATAGTTGCAATTAAAAAACTTTTTCCAAGCAGGCCAATGTTTTTTACAGCAAAGCAATGTCGTCTACAAAAAGTACCAATAGCCTCTGTATTTTTGGATACTGAAGTTTTAAAAAACTGCGACGATGCAAAAAATCGCGGTACTTTTGAAAAATTGCCAAAAATCAGTAAATTAAGTTAGAGATTTGATATAAATTTCATTCCACAGACATTTTTTTCAATTTTGTCCAGAACTGAAAACAATAAAATTCCGAAATTATTCATTTACAAAACAAATTTAACATTAAATAAAAGTATTCTAAATCGAATATTAGAAAATCGGTTAAAATTGCATAAGAAAAAACAGCATTTGGATAAAAATAGAGCCCAATTTCATCATTTCAGGCCTATAAATCTCTGCGCTATGTGATACAAATATGTTTAGTATAATGTGTAAGTATTTAAAAACTGGAACATAATTTTTCTTCTTTAAAAACCAATGGAAAACAGCTACCAATAGCCTCTGTATTTTGGGATATGAAGTTTCCAAAAAACAGTATTCTGTTTTTTGGCAGAATGAACTGCATGATTTATACATGGTATGTTTTCAATCCTTTCAAGTAGTTTCTTAAAAGGTGTGAACTTATTTATTATAATTAAGCTAGAAAATTTACCATCTTTGTATATTTTATCATATTTATTTGAAACTCCGCATTCAATATATTGAATATTGAATACATAGATTTAAAATACATAGATATTGAATACATAGATTTAAAAGTTAATATAATAAACTCTTGCGAATGCGGGGTCATGCCAATAACATATTGCCAATACGGCAAAATCATGTTCCTCAAACTTAATTTTCTATGGTAAAAAATGGTTTAGATATATTTCAGGTTAAGAAAGTATACATTTATACGAACTTAAAAATCGTAATTTAAAGGTAAAAATGAAATAAAAGTTTATTGAAAGGATTTCTATTACTAAATAAAATGGTACATAACACAATTTAAGTTTTCGCTAAATAACTGATTATTTTTGTTTAGGACATCAAAGCAACTCATTTAACATATCTCGGTAAATTGTGCAGAGTTTTTTAATACCTCTCATATACCTCTCATAAAGCGTCTCCTTTTTTCTTCATTTGACTCAATCTCCATTACAAAATCCGACAATTATTCAGTCCTTCACTATCTCTGTTTCTATCGTGAGTTTCTGTTATAAGATCACCCAGTTCTTCATTTGCCATTTCCCGATCATCATTCGCGATTAATTCTTTAACTTCTCCGTCTTGCATATCTGAAAATCCTTCGCCGCCTATTGCTTTCGAAATTTATACGATTTCCTTGTCTTTATCTTCTGTCAATGGAAATCCTTTAACAGAAACATTGTTCACAACTTCTGGAAAGCGAGTATTTATTGTTGAGGAATTCACGTACTCCATGCAAGTTTAATCATTTCTATGCAGCGTCTCAGGTTGAATTGCTCCCAAAATGCTATTAGTGTGTCTAGCGCTTTATTTGCAGAAATATAAACATGACTGGCACCGAAGCTTTGAATGCTTATGTTTCCTTTACTTATTGGTTGGATTAAGGAAATAGTGTTCGGGGCAGGGAATAAAGTTTCTGCATTTGGATGCAATGTTGTGAAGGCCTCAATGCCGTATCTTGGAGAATTAGCGAGAATCAAAAGCTTAAAGCTTAAGTTTCGTTGTTCCAAGTAACGTTTGAGTTCATTAATGAATGAATGTTAAAATTAGTCACTAAAGTGGACTACCGCAGAGCCTCCAAATTCTGCAGCGTACCGAGTATAATTCTAGAATTGGACAAAATAAATGGAGACAGTCAAGCTAACGCATATATGCAAAATCGCATTCTGCAAGTCTGTTCGGCTAGGGTTTACTATATGAACAGCAAAGAGCGAAACACATTTAGAAAAGCGTGTGCAGTCTTTTGAGTGATACCTAAGTATCTCCAGAAGAATGTTCACAGCGTGTAAAGCAGCAACAGCCATGCCAGATTGATGGGCATGATTGTGAAGCTTTCCACTTAGGACAATTGGTAACTAACCTCTCATCACGTGAAGTTCTGCAGCAATTGTTGTTTAAAGATAGAAAGATAGCTGATGTGCTGATGCAAACAGAGGATTCACACACTTTTATCATTTCTGGACGTTTAGCAAATACCAACTGCAGGATCTCATTGCCTGTTGGTGGAAGTCTAAAGGTCCAATATTTACAAAGAATCCGTTTTTAGAAAGATTATAATATCAATCGAGTTGTAGAACGAACAGAATGGAATAGAATGTCTCCGCAAGATCTCTACAAGATGAGGTTCAAGACCATCTACTATTAAAGTGATGGCTATGAATCACAGGAAAATACTGGAGGTCCGTTTTCTAAAAAGCGATGGATGGAACACTGGATCTATTATTATTAACTTTACTGTACCCTGTATTGCTGAGAAAAGACGCATTATTACTGTTTCATAATAACACTTATCTACATATGAATACTTCACATGGGAACTCTTGTAACATTTTCAATGAAATAATTCGAACTATGCTTCAGTTACGAACTTACTCTAATTGAGTTTCACCTTTTCCTAGCCGTCAGCGAACATTTGGATGGCCCCACAGACTTCGTAATAAGGAAGATGTCAAAGAGCGGTTTCGTGGTGGCTTAATATCAAGGACGCCAGATGAACATTGCAAAGGTCAACTCCTGCTTCGACCAATAACTCAGGAAGCATGGAGATTAAGTGGAAAGATAAGATGCCTAACATAGAACAACTGAGTATTTGTGCAATCTAAACATACTGTTAAGAGAAAAAAAATTACTGTTAAATTTATTAGTCGAATTAGTAAAAGTTTCAAAATAGACTGGTGTTAAACTTACTTGCGAAAGCTGCTATAGCAAAACAAACAAAGAAAAATAAAACTATGTGAACTTTTATCTTCATCATAGCTCTTTCCTGTAAGTAAAAGAAAAATAGGATAGAACCTAAAAAGAAAATTAAAAAAAGTATTAGCAAAAATAATCTAAGAATGCAGTTGAAGAAATTATTGTATTTTTATGGTTAGGTTCAGAATAAAAACAAGAACTTTCACCTAATTATTCCTTTAATTCTTTTTCATGAATAAACAAAACACATAACATACTATAAAGCAATATGAATTTTAATTAGATTTTAGCATACGGCTATACAGTAGTGGAAAGAATAAGTAATATTATTAGTAGGATATTAAGAAAGAATTCTTTTTTGAAACTTTTACAGATCAAGCGGATTTTCCATAGATCTGCCAGCAGTCCTTCATGTAGCATCAGAGAGTTTTGTAAATCTAAGAACATTAAAAGTATGCATGAAGATCGAGGCAGCCAGATAAGATGTGGTCAGCATTGGCAGTTCTATGGAAAATCTAGCTGTTGGATATCTTTTAAGATGGGCATGGTTCTTTGGAAAGGACACAGAGCCCAAGTTTTAGTATACTGATTTGTAGAAGTGGCTGCCTAAAGACGCATTGGTTGTCTACCAGTAACCATGGTTTTTATGCGGTACGGACAGGCAGCAAATAAACGAAAGAACTCCAGTAAGTTAATAGTATATAACAAAGTTAATGAAAAATGGTTCAAGTTAATACAGTTAAGTTAAAATTAATGAAAAAAGTAAGTTAATATAGTTTATAAAGCTAAGTTAAAAAGTCAATACAGGTTAAAAAGTTAAACAAGTTAAAAAGTTTAAAATGTTAAAATGTTAAAGTCTGCAAGTCTACCTACATACCTACATTCATGCAGATTGTTCATTATTTAATTTCTTTAAATAGAATGTAGGGCGATAATATCTAGTGGCAACAATTTAAAAAGTGATTCGCCGTTCATAGTGAAATGCCACAAAATGCCGTTTTGAGAGTAATAGCCCTTACTGGGCTACCGCCGCTTTGGGCTAAAAATTAGTCTCTTTCATTTCTTCTACTTTAATAGAAAAATTTTATTGGCATTACATATTCTCTTAGTTCTGGATAAGTACTGAACATTGCTGTGTTACATCACCAGAAATGATAGCAATCAAGCACAAAAAACTATATCAGTCTTTCTTGTGCTCAATACTCAATGTTATGCATTAATTTAAAAAAAAATGAAAGGATTTAGGTTTTGACAGCTCCCCAGGGGATTTTGACAAGATTTATTTTTACTTTCTCTGAACTCGCAATTTACCAGTCTGCTCTTAGATTCGTCTTCTAAACCTTTTTCCTTCCTGTCTTTTTATCGCTTTATTCGCACATTCACCACATACAATTCAACATCTAAAGCAAAAAATTTTCAACACCAGCATAGCAGCAGTTGTCTAGAATTCCCTATACAGTGTTCAGTGTTGGCATACATTTTCCTATCTTTTTTCAGTCTTTCCTCAGTTTTTCATTTCAATGTTCAGTTTTCTTAATAAGATCTTTTATAAAACTAACTTGTGTGCTTGTGTTTTTATAATCAACCTTTTGCATGTTGAACATTATTTATTAAATATCACATACTTCGCACTCATGCCATATAAAGTTCAACAACAAAACCCCAAAATATTTAAATACTGGATAACCTTTGGGATTGCCGGTATATCTCAAGCATTGCCATACTCATTTTTATATCCGCTATATTACTTTTTTAAAACTAGCCTCTTACGCTGCCACCCTCTTAAATTAATTATCCTATTTTGTATTTTCTATGATAACAAAAGTAGTTAAAAAATAGTCATTAAATGTATATAATGATTTCAATGAGTTCAGCCAGTGTAATTTTATAAAAATATTTAATATTTCTAATTAGACATTTTATGATCTTAATGTACGTTTATTGAAATGAATAATATTAAAAACTATAAGAAAATTCTTAAGAGCTGTGTTCATCGCTATTATATTTTTTTGTTTGTTGCTCAGAAATCTTTCAGATTAAATTTTAAAGTTAACCATGTTAGGTTTCGTTGAATGGCACCAACCAGGCGACTGAAGATAAAAATATTTCATTTTCAATAGCGGCAAAACACTGGTTTTAAATAGCCGAGTTTTTTTATTAATTAAAATTAAAAGATAACATTATACTCGTATTTTTCCATTTAAATCTTACATTTTTCTGAAGAGCATCAGCCATGCGAGCTGGAGATAAAAATCTTTTATTTCGAACAGTATTGCCATTTCTCTCTTTCAAATCGCTGAATTTATTAATCAAAAATTCATTAAATTTGTACAAAACATGAAATAAATAAAAAAAATTAATTAATTTTTATATGACGCTCAAAGGCGCATTTTTTTAACGTTTTGCGTATTACCTTTATTTATTAAATATCATGTTCTTCGCATTTAAACCATAAAATTCAATTCAATAGCACTATCGCAAAATAATATAAAAAGAGAATATGCTTAGGATTTCCGATACACAGTCTCACGCGCTGCTGATAATTTTTTTTCCTCCCGTTGCCACTGCTCGCTTTGAAATCGTTGAGCTTCTTAATCAAAATCTCATAAATGCTTTACAAACTATGAAGTAGATAGTAAAACAAATTCCAGATTCCAAATTTGGGCTTCCAGATGCCCATATTCGGGTGGAGACGTACGTTATTTAAAACTTGATGGCTCTAGGTACCGCTGTTTTATCAGAATGACAGAAACATACATACATATATGCAGATTTTTCATTATTAAATTTCTTTAAATATAATACAGGACGATAATATTTGGTGGCAATTTTAAAAGTGATTCAGACTTTTAATGTTTTCGGCGCAAAATGCTAAACCGAAATTAATATGCTCTTCTGGGCTAACGTCCTTTGGACTAAAAATTCAAAATTCGGGCTTCCAGATACGCATGTTCTGATAGAATACTAAATATATTCAAATTTTAATAGCTCTAGCTTTTCCACAATGCTGGAAACATATATGCATATATACATACAGGTTCTTCATTATTTAATTTCTTTAAAAATAATGGCAACAGTTTGAAAAACGATTCAGACAAACAAAAGAAAGTTTCGAAACCAACAGCATCTCTAGCACGAAAAGCATATAGTAACTTTCTCAGTCTCGGAACTTTAAAGATTTAACTATAAAATTTTATAAATGATATGCTTTCAAACATTTTATTTCATTTACATTTTTTTAAATGTTTTCTGAGTTGCAGAATATTCTAAACATATTCCTAAAATAGCCTAAGGGAAAAAAGTAGAAAAGGAACTAAAAATAAGTACTTTAATAGTTTCTGCAACAATTCAGTTGTTAGTTCAGAACATTATGATGACTATTTTTAAAACGAATATGACAATTAAATTATTTTTGTCTGAAAACTTAAAACAAAAGGGGATTTTAAACACTGTAAAAAATAGCTTTAGACTTGCTAAAGCTTCCTTTCTTTCCTTTTTTTAATTTTGAATTTTTTATTTATTTTTAAGAGCCATCATTTTATTAAAATTAACATTTTATAAGACTAAATTTGATTCTCATATCCTACAAAATGAAATGAAAACTAATAAATACTAATTAGGAATAACAATAAAATAAATCTACTAAAGCAAATTATTATTTCAAATCATAACTTTAAAGATTTCGTTATTTTTACTCACTTAGGCAACCAGATCCCTTCAGCAAGTGTTTCGTTGCCGACATCTGCTCGAATATTTAAAGAAAAAACTTTATTGTTTCCTGTTCTCAAGTGTTCATAATTTCAGGACATTTCTATGACGTATGTCGACTTCATTTCAGCTATCAAAGAATAGAATAAAGGTTACTAAGAAAAATAAAATATAAATGTCTAAAAGCAGAAGATGTCTGTTCTGTAAACTGGATGCATGTAAATCGTAAATTTTTGCCAGTACTTGCCTAACCGAACAGTTAAGCTAATGCATACCGAAACAAGTATATAAATAATTTTGTTTTAAAGTCAATTCCTACTTAGGTCAACAAAGAAAAATTTTATTTTAGTTAATTTTTATTAACATTATTAACATTTTTTCGTTTCTAATTCCTGAAGCTGACGGTGGCCTATAATTTCTCATTCTATCCATCTCTTGTAATCCTTCATTATTGCTAGGAACCTTTCCAGTGAGCTTCGAGCAGTCCAGTTCTTCAATTAATATTCCATCTAATAATTTCACAGGACTCAAGGCGATATATGCTTGACCTGCTGCGAAGAGGTTTCCGTATAATTTTTTTTTTTTTTTTTCGCTTATGTTTTCCTTTCTCTAATCGTCGCTTGCGTTGTGTTGTAGTTTTCTTTTAGCATTCTTCGTTTATGAAGCAAGGGACATTTTTAAAGGGTTATATTTTAAACGTATATTATTATCACGTTAACATAGAAATATGGGAAGAATTTTCGCTACATAATGAGATATCCAACTCTATAAAAAACACAATTATTTAATTCCATACACTTTAAAAGTCTTTAGAACTCTGTCTTACTGTTGCCACTTATTTTGTTAAATTACAGTCCCATTTATCACAGTCATGTACTATAAGTTGTTATAAAATTAATTTTTGCAGCACGTGAGAATTCCTAATAAACGGTCATTATTTATTGTTAAAAAATAATGAATAATGACCATTTAAATAAAAACCGCATATCATTAGTTCTGATAAACAGGAATAAATAAGTAAGAATTGACTATAATATGTGAGAAAACTGTATTAACATGAAGTGTCATCCACTACAAGTTTAAAAAAGTGTATCTGAACTTGAGTGAAGACATAAAAAGTGTTTTATTTACGATTGAAAAAATTTTTAAAAAACCACTTTGAATACTTACAAACCATTACCAGACAAACACATGACTTTGAAATGATTAGATCAGCGATTCTCAACCGGTGGTGGTACGAGAAGACCTCGAGGCTATCTGCCTAAGAGTACAGATGCTTTTGAGGAGGACTTGCTTAGCCAGGTATACTTAAAAAAAAACCAAACAAAAAGAAGGTCCTTTTATTTTTAGAAGGATCTAATTATTGCTGGAGAACTTTGGAACCTAAAAAATACTCAGTTTCCACAGAACTATTCGACACAAATAATTTATTTTTTTATTTCGATAGTTATGTGTCTTAACCCCAATGCTATAAAAATTAAATACTTTTCCTTATTCCTAGTTTTACATGAAAATTACATAATTTTATTAAGGATTTCATTAAAAAATTACACATAATTTTACAAGAAAAAGAACGAAGTGGGTTAATTAATTATGGCAAAACATACAATGATTATTTTTCTAATAAAGAAATGTCTTCGTCGAGGACATCCGAAGGGAAATTGACTCGTATTCATGTTACACACAGGGAGGATTACAGAAACGGTCTCTTAATTTCAGTTCTAGAACCCAAAACTAGACGATCTTGTTCAGTCGACTAGTTTTGGGTCTCGAGAAGAATCTATTTCCTGTGTGAATGGAAGCAATATTTGGAATTTAATTTCAAGTTTTATTAGGATGATCTTAGGCAGCTAAACTCTTTAATATGGGATCTACGTCCCTATGGCGTACTCCATGCAACTTCTTGTACAGCAGAATGATCTATAGCTCTGGCAAAAATTCGGTAATCTTAATGGAAGATGCGGACTTGCCACATCTCCGCAAATGCTCTGCCCTTCCTTGTATTTCGATTTCAGAGTACTACTGGGTGTCGAGGAACACTCTGAGTTTATAGATATACAGATTTCAACTTTTTCGTCTTTGTTTTGTTTTTAATTTTATGTTCAATGATCTTGCAATGTGTCATTAGAAATTTTAAAATAATATATTTGATTCAAGCAACCTAATTGTGCTGTCATCTAAAGAACACTTTTTTTTTAATCGAATGGTAGGCACTTGCTTTTTTTCAGCATTGGCCACTCGCAAGGCCAGAAGTGGTGGCCATTTTATCATGGAGGCACCTAATAGGTGGCCACCGTGATCGCCTATGAGGGGACAGACAATTTGCATCCATGGCTTCTCCAGGATTCGAATCCGGGCCTTCCGGTATCGCAGTCGGCTGCCCTAACCACTTTACCGTCTGGGAGGCTCTTAAAATTAAATAGGCAAAAGTTCGAATGCTTTCGTCATGTTTTGATTTTGATTTATTTTATTATGGCAAAGCAAACGAGCGGTGTCTGTCTAAGGGGAGGTATGTCTTCGTGGAGGACTAAGCGAAACTGGCTCGTATACACGATAGACATGGGAAAAATCACGGAAATGCCCATTCAACGGGATTCAAGGTCTCAGACCGAAATACCAGTGTTCAGCAACTTTACCCCGCTCGGCCGCTGGTGGGCCTTATAAAATAATCAGCATAGATTCAAGAAAGATCAGTAGCAGTGATTTTTCCTTGTTCAATACTTCGCCGACAGTGTATCAAGCATGATTGTTAAGGACAAACATGTGTCTCATGATTGTGTGTAATTTGGCCGTGAATAGAGCTTTGATGGATTTTAAAAAATCATGGTGGAATTTATTTTGTCTCTTTGGAAATATTTTACATAATCATGATAAATAATTTAATAGCTCTTAAAAAATAGTAATAAAGTAATCACATGTGAAAGTGTGATATATTAGTTATTGGAACTATACAAGCAAGGAGTAAGTACAACTGTGTTTCTAAGTTGCTAGTAATAGATTAAAAGAAGATAACTTTTATCATAATTTTAAAATCAGGGTATTGCATTCTATACAGAGCAATATTAACTTTAAGATCACGTGCTAATTGAGCACACATGGTAATTTGCATCATTAATTAATTTTGGATGATACCCATAATATTTTATTATTATAAAATTTCTTCATTATAACACTCATCAAGTATAAATTTTGATACAATTATATTTTCATAATTCTAATTACAGCAATTTTTTTCCATTGTTTATAAGATAACCTTTTAGTACCTTCAGTCCTGCTCGCTTTGAGGAAATTTATTTCTGAATATGCTTTATGCCATTCATATGGCTACCCCCCATATGTAAAAAATGTAACTCAAACTATAGTTATTACGTTTACACAATAACTAGAAACTCGGATAGCTGATACAGTACAGAAAAAGAGATTTTTAGCACCTTTTGTGGATGCAATTTTAAAAAAAGCTCTGCGAGGTTTAGCACGAAAACAAATACTTACGCTTACATTTATGCAATAATAATACTTATAAAAAGAAAAAGAAAAAAAAAATTGGATGAAAATTTTCTTTTAAGTTTTATTGAAATGCAGCACATTCCGAAATTCGCTCGCTGTGTCTGGAACTGTTAAGGCTACCTCGTCGCACCAACCCAACAATTTGGCGACTGAATGGAGAAAAAAATTTTTACGCCTTACCTACAGATAAAAACCCCATTTCCCATTCTAGCAACCTCCATGTGCCCAAATAAAACAGCGAAGTGCACCACCGGTAGAGGAACGCTGGGGTGGGAGGGGGAGACGAGATTGCTTATAAGAGGGGGGCGGGGCACGAAGGAGAGTTTTCGTCAGTTTATTAATGAAGCCCAGGTTGCGCAATCTGCTCCGCCGACAGCCTTGTAGCCCGCGAAGTGATTGCAGCAGTGGGAAACCGAATCCATCATTTTGACGGCCCACTTTGGTGGGCTCACCCCCCATCTTCATCACCCTCCCCGACGTGCGGTTTTGTTACGGCACTACTACCACCAAAAAATTGGTCCCCCCTCCCTCTTGCTATAATGTACCACCATCCGATCTGCTTGTTTCGTTTTCGCTACTTGGCAACTTTCCACCGGTTCTTCTTCAGGGATTTTTTTTATTTATTATTATTATTCTATTTTTCGTTCTTTTGGATAAATTTTTTCCATTCCTCCCCCTCTCTCGAGCAAGCCCTTGACGGGCGCGTTTCATTCCTGTCAGCATTACGGAAGCGGGTTACGTCGAAAGCAGCTGCTCGAAGCAGATTTTCAGCAACCAGTGAGTGGTACTCGTCGTTGCTCATAACAGGAGAAAGTGGGGTGAATAAAAGGTTCTTTATATATTATCTTCTTCTTTGGAGAATTAGATACAAGAAACTAAATGCATAAGAAAACTAGCAAACTGCGGAAAAGAGAGGAAACTGTGAGTTTTCGGAAGTAATTAGTCGGTATTCTGTTAGGTTGGATCATCCCATTCAAAAATCTTTAGAGCTCATCCTCTTGATTTTCCTTCACAAAAATGATAATAGCGTTGTATTATATTCTTTCCTAATCCATGCTTCATAAACTGTAAAATATTTTAGGCCTCGAATCTTGTCATAAACTATGGATTCCTGAAATAAATTGTATAATTTTCCTTTAAATCGTACATACCCAGTGTGGCCAGATCGTGCTTTTCGCAAATTTGCTACTTTTGACAAAAACCTATGTGACTAAAACTTACGTATCTGCGATTTTGAGAAATGTTTGCTCTTTTGCTACTTGTTTGCTGCTTTGCTACTTGTTTCCTTGAGCTACTTCTTGCAACTTCAAAAATTTTTAATATACCGTAAAGCCCTTATATGTTAAAGGAATGTATTTACTAAAATTTACAATATAAACTTTATAATAAATAAATAAATAAATTTATTTTGGCTTAAATAGAAATCCTGAAATCATAAAGTAGGGGCAAACAGTTGGTATTTTTATGTGTTTGGATAACTGCTTTGTTTATTCTTTCAAATTTGCTAATAAACAATGCACACCTAGACCAAAGCCAGATATCGAAAGAGAATGTATTTCGAATTCTTAGACTCCATACTTCAAATGAAGTTGTCATTAGGGGA